AGTGTCAAAATTATCCTCTGAAAATACATATTTTAAATGTATTTTAGCCCATATTAATATGTATTTTAGTAAAAAATTAATAACATTAATAATTACATTTGAATCATTTGAATACTTCTTTGTTATTATAAATAAATATTTCCCTAAAACATTTGTATCTTGTTCTTAGTTCATCTTTTGCTCACAACTGCCATGTATTTTTATGTTCACTGTAGAAAGTTATAGTCATAAACTAGAAAATATCTTAAAAGTTGTCAAGTACCCTACAGAGATAAACACTAATAAAATTCACACATATTATATACATAATATATTAATAGGCATAATTAAAGATGAAATTTGAATCTTTTAAAATCTGCTTCTTAACATTAATATTGTAAAATAAACATTTTTCCATGTTATGTTTTAACATACACACTTTTAATAATGGAAAATACCTATAATATGAATGTACAATTTTTATAATATCTAACATTTGTTTCCTTGTTTTCTATTATAATGAGCTATAATGCAAAACTCTGTATAAAAATTTCCTACATTAATGATTGCTTTTCTTTTAAATGTTTATAAAATATTTCTATCCTGCAAAAAATTAGAGAGAATAACTTGCTAAGGTTTAAATGTTCGTGTTCCTCTGAAATTTATGCAGAAATGTCATTTCCATTGTGGGATGGTATTAAGAAGTGAGGTCTTTTGGATAATAATTGTCTGAGGGCTTTGCTCTTGTGAGTGGGATTGGGAGCTGTCTGATCCTTCTGTCCCTTCAACTATGAGAGGCTATATGCTTTTGCCCACCAAGAGACACAGTGACAAGGCTCTATCTTGAAAGAAAAGAACAAGCCTTTACCAGACACTACATTTGCTGGCACCTTGACCTTGGACTTCCCAGCCTCCAGAACTATGATAAATAAGTGTTCATTATTTATTAATTATCCAGTTTAAGGTATTTTGTTTTAATAACAGGAATGGACTAAGGCAATATATAATAAACACTTATGTTCCCAACTCACAGATTAATTTTTTTAACATTCTGATATGTATTTGTGATCATTTGTTTGAGGAGTTTAAATCATTCCTGACATAATCATTAAATAGTGTTTTTGATATTTTTAAGTGTCACATATATAATATACTATACGTTATTTTATGATTTATTTTTTCTCAACATTTATTTATAGAAATAAAAATACGTCAGTTCATTCTCATTTTAAACTACTAACTGAAATATATGGTGTATATAATTACTTCAAGTCCAAGAATTGACAGCAGTTTTCAAAAAATCACTTTACTGTATCGTTTGGGTACAGTCAGCCAACAGATGTATGTGGGTGAGAAGGAATCACTCCTCTCAGCATATTGTAGTAGTCAGACATGGTGACAGACAAATATAGAAGTGCCCAGAAGTATCCAACATCCAGCTTTTCTTTCTCATTACTGTTACAACCAGCCAATAGCATTTTTGAGCCAACTCTAAAGCATTTCACTGCAATTTTCTTATTAATGACAGCACCCACATACCTCCCAATGAGCTCTCTCTTTGTTGCTTTTTGGTAGTCAGACATGAAGACATAAAAACGAACAAAAGTCTGGAGTTTTCCTATAAATAGTTTCAATCAACCATCATTTATTTTATTTTATATTATATTATTTTATTTTATTTATTTTTTAAGACAGAGTTTCAGTCTGTTGCCCAGGCTGGAGTGCAATGGCACGATCTTGGCTCACTACAACCTCCACCTCCAGGATTCAAGCGATTCTCCTGCCTCAGCCTCCTAAGTAGCTAGGGTTAAAGGCACATGACACCATGCCTGACTAATTTTTTGTACTTTTAATAGAGACCAGGCTTCACCTTGTTAGCCAGGATGGTCTCAATCTCCTGACCTCGTGATCTGCCCCCCTCAGCCTCCCAAAGTGCTGGGATTACACGTGTGAGCCACTGTGCCCAGCCCCAAACAACCATCTTAAAAAAATATTTTTGTTGATTACCTTCTCTGATCCTCCAAATCCCTTATAAACTCTATAACTTAAGTTCTCCTGATATCTCTATAGATGTAAGCTCTAATTTCTGTTGCAAATAATCTGTTCAAAGCAAACATTCCATTTTTTCTATTTTCTTAAATAGTGACTGATATACCATTTATAGCTGAGTATATACCATTTATGGATGTCCTTTCTATATTGTCCCATCCTGGTTGCTATACATAGGCATAGTCTTATTAAAATAGTTCTTTTTTGTAATAAACCATAAAAATAACATTTTTTTGAAATTATAATGTGGATAAATTCATTAACACAATTTTTTATTTTTAGTGAGTCCAAATTAAAAAGCAACAAATATAATGAAACCTCCTTGCCATTATTCCCATTATTACAAGTATCTTATGCAGTAATTTCTTAATTCTAATTCACGTTATTGACTAGCAGAGTATATGTCTATTATACAAACACATCATGCAGATACTGGCCAAACTACTGAAATGATGCTTAATTAAATTAATCATTAAACAATGCTTAATCACCAAGAAAAAAATTATATTTTTTAAATTAGAAAGTGCAATAATGGTCTTTTAAAGGTCCAAAAATAAAGTTTTTAAAAATTCAATATATATTATTGAATCGAGATGCAATTCAAATGCCATAAAATTATCTTTTAAAGTATTTAATTCAGCGGATTTTAGTATGATTACAGAGATTCGTAACCATCATCATTACCTAATTTTAGAAATATTCATCATCACCCCCTGCAAAACTCCATACACAATGGCACCCCCATCATCCCCACGTAGTCATAATCAATAATCATATAATTTATATCCTGAGAGGCTGCATTTGGTATTTGGTCATTTTACTAGCAAAAAAAAAGAAAATAATTCAAAAATTTATGTATATACAGACTTTGGACACTTTATAGAATCATACAATACAGATCAGACAATAGGTAAAAACACATAAAAAGTAGTAGGATAGTAGCGATTTAGCAGCATTGGCTCTGAAATAAAAATCTGAATGCTAACATCTATATGCCATGATTACTGGATGTGATTGGTTGTAAAATTGGCCACAAATGTCATCATGTCCTTCCAACAAGAAGCATAGTTAAATTCTCACAACATTTAATGCTGGGAGGTCTTGCTTTGGTGACTAAAATTCAATAACAAGATGCCATGCAAGTTCTAATACTGGACCACAAGAAGATTTTTGTGCCTCCTCTTCTTCCTCTGGAATTTTGTGGCTCCAGGTGAACAAGCCTGATCTAGCCTACTAGAGGGAGAGAGTTCATGTAGAGAAGAACTGAAGCACCCCAGACAGTCTCCAGCTGACATGACAATTGAGTGCAGATGCACGAGTGAGCCCTAAGGGAGAGTGGTCATTATTTAGCTATTAAAAAAAAAAAAAAAAAAAAAGATGTTATAACCATCGTTTAATACATATCTTGGTAAACATAAACTTGTAGTTTTCTAAAGAGCATATCTAGGAGTGAAAATGTAAGGTCTGAGATAATATATTTGTTTAGCTTTCGTATATAATGTCAAACTATTTTCTGGCTAGGCATGGTGGCTCACACCTGTAATCACACCTGTAATCCTTTGGGAAGCTGAGGCAGGCGGACGATCTGAGGTTAGGAGTTTGAGACCAGCCTGACCAATTTGTTGAAACCCCTTCTCTACTAAAAATACAAAATTAACCCAGGATGGTGGCATTCCCCTGAAATCCCAGCTATTTGGGAGGCTAAGGCAGGAGAATCATTTGAACCTGGGAGGCAGAGTTTGCAGTGAGCCGAGATCGCACCATTGCAGTCCAGCCTGCAGAAAGCAAAACTCTGTCTCAAACAAACACAACTTATTTTCCAAAGTGGTTACAATAAAGAATGGCTACCTTGTCCACATTCTCACCAATAGGTAGCTGAATGTAACATTTTAAAATTTAGCCATTCTTTAGTATTTAGTGATATCTCATTGTCATTTTTACTGTGTTATTTCACATCAGAATAAGTTTTACCAATTAGATTGCAATATACTTGGAAAAACTTAGAAATAAAAAAAAAATTCCGTTATTGCATCCTATAACTTTAAATGCCCTTTCCATATTCTTCCTTTTTGTATTTGAGAGGGTTTAATAGTTTATTTCTGCTGGCAGACTTACGTGATGAGTAAAGCTAGAGTTAAAAAGCTGCATATACACGCACATGCAGAGGTACACGGGTGCATTCATTCATACTACTTATTTATGAGTGTATACTGTATATGCTGCACTACATATTAATGAGTGTATACATACACAGTATACACTCATAAATACGTAGCATGAGTAGTTAGCTTTATTTTATTTATTCCTTTGTCTATGCAAATATATTTATTGAATATTTTTTCTGTCAAATATTCTATATACCCTGACATAAATTTTTCTTCTACTGAGATTACATTCTGGTAAGTGTCATAGAATATCAAACACTGTCACTATGTAGTGAGGAAAATAGTATAAGGAATGAGAGTATGATAAAGGATTATTTAGTAGCTGGTTTGGAAAAGAGAATTACTGATAGAAGTGCTGTTTCACTTGGGAGCTAACTGAAGGATTGATGTTACCCATTGCATTTTTCCTATTGCTGCTGTAAAAGTTACCACATGCTTGGTGGCTTACAGCAACAGAAAGTGTATTATCTCACAATTTTCGAGGTCATAAAACTAAAATGGGTTTCACTGAGCTAAAATCAAGGTGGTGGCAAGATTGTGTTCCTTCTGGAGGCTCTAAGAGAAAATCCATCCCTTTTTCTTTTCCAATTTATAGATGAGTTCACCTGAATTTCTTGGTTTGTAGCCTTTTCCTTCATCTGCCATGCCAGCAATCATCACTTTAAACTTTTCTTTCACTGTAGCATTGCCTTTGACTCTTTTGTCTCACTCTTTCATCTTTTAAGTACAGTATACTAATGATTACACTGGGCCCACCAGGTTAACAGGATACTCTGCCCATATCTTCTTTTTTTTTTCTCGATTCAGTCCCCTTAGAGTCTGCTCAAAGTTGCCAACACTGACTGTATTTCAAGTTGTCATGGCGGGGTATTGGGAAAAGTTTTCAATTAGCAATAATTGCACCTGGGATAAACTTCATTGGCTACGATACTGCCACTGGGCAAAGCTAGGGTTCTTAATTTAATTCACTTGCACAGTCTCTTTTGCTACTTAAGATAACATCCACAGGTTTGAGAGATGAGGTTGCTGACACCCTTGACGTGGGGTTGGCATTATTTTGCATGCCACACCCATGCTGGGGAGGAGCAGAGAAGTGTTTCAATCACAGAAAACAATCTCTGTTTCCTTATGGGATCTGACAGAATTAACATAGCTAAAGCAGGAAGCAGGACGTAATACTAAGAGCAATAGTTACTAACCACAAATATTAAATATTTAGGAAGATGTTTGGAATTACTTTAAAATGCCAAGCATTTTACACATTTTTAAAGCTGGATTCAGAAATAGGATATAGAAATGGAGGACAGTTGTGTATTCTGTGACTTTATAGTGGAGGAAGATCACAGTGGAAGCAGCTACCTGTAAATTAAAAAATAAAATTGATGTATTGTCTTCAAAAACTTGGAGGACTTTAAATTTTCCTCCAATCCCATGCCTAATTTTATTTAATGAATTAATTAATTTGGAGATAGGATCTCGCTCTGTCACACAGGCTGGAGCACCGTTGTGCAATCATAGCTCACTGCAGCCTCAATTACTAGAGCTCAAGTGACCGCCCCTTGTCAGCCTCCAGAGCAGCATCTGGAACTACAGGTGCACACCACCACACCCAGTTAATCATGTTTAATTTTAAACAGTTCAAAAAGCTGTATTATTATTTTTCATGTCAAATAATTTATACGGTGATATGCACTGTTGTTTTGCTTTATGTATCAAGAGAGTTTACTCAACTTATCTTTTGCAGATATAAAGACGGAGTCATGTAGGTGTTATAAAATTATGCTGCAAATGATGAAAATAGCACATATTAATGGGATTTGAAAATTGGATATAGTGTTTTCTATGCACCGTAATCTGTTCATTTAGAATATATAAACATGCAGTACTTTCAAAAATATACCCACCTGTGTCCTTATAAAATTGCTCTTTTCACAAGTTAGTATAGTTTGAAAAAAGTTTATGACTAATATGATATTTTCAACACTTCAAAGAATATAAAGCAGAGAAAACTGGTAAGTGAAATACATTTTCTACTGAGAAGAGGTAAAAAGCAAGTCAATGTATTTTTTAAATGATGGCTTATATGAGACATACTAGCATAATGATAGAAAAAGATTTGTCATAAAAGGAAACAGATTGAAGATATGGTCAAATATGTTACTAAAATTTAAGATTTGTTGATTATTAGATATTTATCAAACATAATTTTAAAATTTGGCTTATGTTGATTTCTACCACTTCATATATTGAACAAACATCTGTTAGAAAACTGTTAAAATGACCATTGGTATTACACACATTTTTGCTCTTGCTAAATTCTGTTTGATTATGCCAATATTCAGTGCATTAAGTGACATGGACTTGTGTTCTTTTTTCTGGTTAAAACAGAGGGTAAGAAAAATCAGCTTCCGTATGTTAAATCCAGCAGTGAATCTTGGAGCCTGAACTAGAGAAAAATACTCTCTTTTTGTGTAGCGGTTTTACGAAAAATTAATTACTGACCTCCAAAGTAATTGATTCATATCACTTTTTTTCTATAAATCTGGACTGTGGATGGTAATTATTTTTAAATTTTTCAAAACTTTTCTCATACAGCATCACACAAGACAACTATCTTGAAAACTAAAGTCTGCAAAATGTTGGCAAGGGCAAAGAAGACTGTGCACCATTTATTTCTGACAAGAAAAATGATTCTAATGTCCCTAACATACCACCTTTCTCCCTTCTACAGAATGCATCAATCTATGGATATCACTTTTGCGGCAGTCATGATTTGTATTCCTCTGGCAGCTCTCCTACTTTACAGGCCCTAAAATAAGTTTGGTTATAGCCTACAACAGCAGGAGAGCAAAAATCTATTTCCCATATCCATTTCCATCGCTCACACTCATTTGATGTTATTGTCTTTCTGATACTTGCCACCAAAGTTATTGATGATGTTACAAAATAGAAAGACTGAGAATTAAACACTTTTTGCAAGATCTGATAATTAAATAATAATAATGACAATAATAAAGAATGAAATCTGTAAAAGCAAAGCAAGAATATTTTACAACAAAGGTCCCAAAGACAAAAGAAATCCTTACCATTTTCTGTGTTACAAAACAGACCTATAATTTGCAAATGATGCAAGTGAAGGCGATTTAATCTTGTATTATACCTGTTTATGGCTCTTATCCTAAATTAATTCATGCTTTTTAAAGTAATACATAAATGCAAAATTACACAAATGTGATCTATTTTAATGCGAATTAATATTCTATCCAATGCATTATTATTTACTAGCTAGTTAAATTCGCCACATGACTTTGGTTAACAAATAATGGGATTGTTACACAGTTTATTTTGCAAATTATAATCTTTTCTAAGTATCTCTCTTCTCTACCACACTCACAAGATACAAGTTTTCCTGAAGTAGAATAACTGTGCTTCCAGTAAAGAAGATATTTGAATATCAAGTAATATTTCTAAAAGATATATTATAATAGGCAATATTATTGTAGACAATTAAGGTAAATTAATACTGTAATGATATTAGAAATAAATTTTGTCAGCAGGTACAAGGCTCTGGTCACTCAACATGAGATCACAATAGAGTATCAGATGTGTAAGGGAGAAAGGAAATAGGGAGAAAAGTGCTTAGCTCCAGAGGTGTGCTAAAACATAGATTTAGTACATAAATAAAAATAAAGATTTAATTTCTGGTCAAGATGGAAAATATGAGAACTAGACCATGGGCAAAAAAAATGCATATATTATTCAATTTAAAGAATTGCTATAAAATACTATAATCAGAAAACATGACAATGGTGAAATAGACATATTGATGAATAGGATAGAATAGAGATCCAAGAAAGAAAAGATCTACACAAGTAGAATCAATTGATTTTCAATACATAAATGGCAAATGCCCAATGAAGAATGGATTCTTTCAAGAAGTGGTGCTGGGACATTTGAACATCTTATGCAAAGAAAAGAAAAAAAGAATCTAGATCAGACCTTACAACTTTCACAAAAACTAACCCAAAATGAATTTAAGACATAATATAAGATGAAAAGTACAAAAATTCAAGAAGAGAACACAGAAGAAAATGTATATGACTTTAAGCATGTTGAGACTTTAGATAAAAATTTAAAGCACAATCTGTGAAAGAAAAACTAATAATTTGGGTTATTGAAATTAAAAACTGATATGCAAAAGGCACTGTAAAGATAAAAAGATAAGGAGGAAAATTTGCAAATTCTGATAAAAGGCTTCTTATCTAGAATACCAAAAAATAAATCCTTAAAATTAACAACTTAAAAATGTGCAAAACATAAAATCTGAATAGACACCTTACCAAAGAATACATGCAAATGATACGCAAATACATGAAAGATATTCAACATTATTTGTTATTAGGGAAATGAAAATTAAAACAACTAAGAGACACTACAACATATCTATGAGTGACTCAAACCTGAAACCTGTCAATATCAATTACTAGTAAGTGTGCAAGCAATAGAAACTCTCATTCATTGCTGTTTGGAATTAAAAGCAGTGCAACCATCTGAGAAGACGGTTTTTCAGTTTCACATGAAGCTAAATATAGACTTAGCATACTCAGCAATGGCATTCTTAAGCATTTACCCAACTGATTTGAAAACTGAGTTTTATCTAAAACCTACACACAGAAGTTTATAGAAATTTTCTCCTTCATAATTATCAAAAAACAAAACAGCAAAGATATTCTTTAATAGGTGAAAACACAAACTGTGGTACATCCATAGAATAAAATCTAACTCAGCAATTAAAAGGAATGGGCTAGGGCTATCAATCTAAGCAACCTGGATGAATCTTGAATGCATATAATTAAGTGAAAAAGTGAGTCTATAAAGGCAACATACTCTATGATTCCATTTATATGACATTCTAGAGAAAGCCAAGCTACTCATGGAAACAGAACAAAGATTGCCAGTAATCTTGTGAGATACAGGAGAGTTGAATATGTGGAGCACAGGGGATTTTATAAGGCTTTGAAACTATTCTGTTTGATACTGTATTGGTGGATACACAACACTAGGTATTTGTCAGAACATATACAACCTTAAAACTCAAAGAATGAGCTTTGTATACAAATTTTAAAACATCAGTTAAGAGATGTGGAGACCCTAGAATGCAGACTGTGATGAAAAATTTATTACAAATATGTAACATAACATAACTGACAGTGATGGGTGAGAAAAGAGCTGACCTAAGTCATTGTGAAAATGAATGGGATATGTAAGAATAAAGACAAAAGCAATTATAACTGGTTACTGCCTGAAAGTTTTTAAAAGTAATTTCCATTGGAATAAACTATAGCAATTCCAAATCCATTGTAATGAATGCTGAGATTGAACAGGTAAGTGCATGGATGTGTTACAGTTGGAGCCAGGTTTTTTACTCTTAGACTAGTAGTTTATAGATGAGCAAGAAGAGAAGTCTGGAATTATGCTTATATTAATGGATTAGAATTGGAGTCGTCAGTATAAACTCATATTTACTTTAACATAAATAGATACAGATAGATTGGGCTGCTGTAACAGAATATCACAGATTGGTTTCAAAAAAAAAAACATTTATTTCTCACAGATCTGGAGGCTGGAAGTTCAATATTAAGATGCCATTATAGTCAAATTATTGGTGAGGATCATCCTTCTGGTTTACAAACAGCTGCCTTCTCCCTGCGCCTTCACTTGGCAAAGAGAGAGAGCTCTGTCTCTGCATCTCCCTGTAGATCCGCTAATCTGATCATGGGTCTTCCATACTCACGGTCTAATCTAAACCTAATATCATCCCAAAAGCCCTACCTCTATATACCATCACATTGGGAATCAAGGTTTCAGCATATGAATTTTGGAGGATGCTTGCATTCAGTCCAGAGCCCAGATGTAAAAACACAGATGATATATAATCTATATATTAT